CCCTTCCTTATGATTTTCTTTTTTCTTTTTTTTTTTTTTTTTGACAGAGAGAGAGAGAGAGATCACAAGCAGGCAGAGACAGAGAAGGAAGCAGGCTCCCCGCCGAGCAGAGAGCCCGATGTGGGGCTCAATCCCAGGACCCTGAAATCATGACCTGAGCCGAAAGCAGAGGCTTAACCTACTGAGCCACCCAGGCGCCCCACTTATGATTTTCTTAATACCGTTTCTTTTCTTTTCTCTAGCTTACTTTAAGAATACAGTATACAAGACATATAATATACAAATTATCTGTTAGCCAACTATTTATGTTATCAGTAAGGCTCTGGTCAATAGGACCCTATTAGTAAAGCTTTTTTGGGAATCAAAGTTACACATGGATTTTTGCCTGCGCTGGTAGTCGGCACCCTTACACCCTCACATTATTCAAGGGTCAACTGTCGTTAAGTTTTTGGGCGGTCAAAGGTTTTATTTGGATTTTCGACTACGTGTGGTCAGAGCGCAAACCCACTGTTGTTTAAAGGTCAAGTCTAATTGCTATTTGAGGCTAGCGTGAGCATTTTCCTGCACCAGCCTTAAACATTTTCCAGTCAAAATGTTAACATTAGCCATTATCAATCATTTTCATTCTCCTTTGTGATTTTGGGCACTTTCACAGACCACCTTTTCGCTTTTTATACATTTACCTAAAATGGAAACTTCACTGCCCTAAATGGAAAACCAGTATCACCAGCCAGAGATAGAAATCAGGATCCATTAAAACAAGCGCATAATGTCATATGTAAATTCACATTCATTACCCCCTAAAATCACTCCACGGTAGAGGTGCACAGGCCGTATTTTGGGACTTGCTGCAATGTGAGAAGGACTTCTGTTGGTGAGTTAGAGGAGGCGCCATTTTCCTAAATGGCCAGACTACTGACAAAAATTTAACGGGTACCTCTATGTGCCAGGCTCTGATCTAGGGTGGGGGACACAGAGGTTGAGCAGATAGACAGGTTCCTGTCCATTTGGTCCTAACCTCTTTTTTTTTTTTTTTTTAAGATTTAATTTATTTGACAGAGAGGGACAGAACACAAGCCTGGGGAGTGGGAGAGGAAAAAGCAGGCTTCCCGCCAAGCAGAGAGCAGAGAGCCTGATTTGGGGCTTGATCCCAGGACCCTGGGATCATGACCTGAGCTGAAGGCAGACGCTTAACAACTGAGCCACCCAGGCACCCCCAGCCCTGACCTCTTTTGGCAGGTCCCTCCATTTTCACCAGGGGCCATGGGTCTGTCTTCAGTTCAGTGACTGGTAATGTCTGTGACTCACAACACTGGGAACACAAAACAGCAGTACTTGTCAGGAAGTAGTATTGCAAAATCGCCGCCGCTGCCCATTTACCAAGTTGACGTTAAGCTAAAATCACTAAAAATGAGGTCCATCTCCATGTACTGACATGGAAAGACATCCTGGATATAAGATGGCAAGCAAAAAAATCCCAAAAAACAAAAAACATGGCAAGGAAGCTACAGAACAGAATGTAGCATAGAAGCCTATTTGCATTCAAATGTGTATATTTGGGGATTCTTTGCAGCCAGGTTCTGGGCTAAGCTTTTATTTGCATGTTTTCATGTCATTCTCATTATAATCCTATGATGTAAAGGCTATTATTATCCCCATTTTACACATGCAAAAACTGAGGCACAAACAGGGTGAAGTGATTTGTCTGAGGCCTCATAACAAACAAATAAGTGGTGGAGTGGCGAGCTGAACCTCGGTCTCTCTGCCCCCAGACACGGGGCTCCTAAGCCCCCAGACACGGGGCTCCTAACTCCTACACTTTGCAGCCGCCATCCATAGGAAAATCTGGAAGGATGCTCACAAATTGTTCGCAGTGAACACATCCCAGAAGTGAGACCGGAGGGGGCTGTAGTTTCTTATATTTCTTTTTATGCCTCCGTACTGTTTGAATTTTTAACGACAGTCATGTGCTAATTTTGTAGTTGAAAAACAAAAAACAACAAACCGCCACCAACGCAGAAACTCTGCCAAGAGACAGGACGGTTTGTGGAGGAGTCACTGCGTAGCTTACCCTTCCATTCCTCGCCTTGTCTCAGGAAAGGTAGGCGTGCAATGAACGGGTCATCCAGGAAAAAAGGCTTCTGTGACCAAAGAAGTTTGGGAAATGCCGATGAGACAGAATCGATCAGGCCCGTTCTCTGGGGGAATTTTCAGAGTGCTAACCAGCTGATGACATTGACCAGGAAATTAATATGGCCCAGTCTGGAGCGGAAGCCATGTTGGTTTAGCCCCAGAACCATTCTCTTTCCAGATGCCTCATGGAACTGGTGTTCTCTAGAACAAGCATCGGAAATGAAGCACAAGCTACGTTCAGGCCAACGCCGAAGTTTGCTCTTGGAGGCCACGTCCCCCAATGGTATCTTGGTCCTGCCTGCCCCCAACCCACCCCCACCCCCAGCTCCCCTCAGCATTGCTTTCATTGAACTGAGCTTGGTCTTGAAGTCACCGACTTGAAGCTGGTGACTTCAAGGCCAAGTTGAAGATGTATGTGAATCCATACACACCCCCAGGCTCTGGATTAGTAAGATACAGTGTGTATTGTGTATGTAGACCCTGTCTCTGCCTCCGTCCATACCTGCACACAGACATTTTCTGATGATAAGTCTGGTGTTTGGGATAGGGTATATGTGTATGGGTGTGTGTGTGTGTGTGTGTGTGTGTGTGTGTGTTACTCTCCTGTAAGGCAGACCCTGTGGCTCAGCCTAGAATTCTCACACCCACTATATACAGGAAACAAGCTCATTTGCAAAACCACACCACAAGTGTGAGGTGATGAGCGGTATGCTGGCCAGCCAGGGTGCTGAGGGTGGGACGCTGGCCAGCCAAGGTGCTGAATACGGGTCATTCTGGGTGTGAACAGCCTTCCCTTTGGTGCACCATTTACAGGAGGAGGGGCTGCCTAACCTCTGTTAAGGACCTACTATGCATCAGGTACGACCCAGAGCACAACCCAAGTCCCCAAACGCAATCTGCAAGGGAGAGATTTATGACTGCCTCTTCATAGTTTGGAGTCTGGGGAGGTGAAGTCAATACTGTTCAAGGAAATGGCAGAACCGGAATTGTACCTGGGTCAGCCTGACCCTGAAACCCGTGTTCTCTGCACTGCACAATACCCATTGACTCTCTGGCCTTTGGTCTTGTTCTGTCTTCATGGTACCCAAGAAACAGAAACCAGGGACAGTGACCTTGGCTCATGTTGTAGATGCTTTCCAAAATGGGCCTTTGTCCTTCTCAGAACTGTGTTGACTTCCAGTCAGATCTGTGAACCTTCTGGATCACCACAGGGAAGTCCTCTGTTCCCTGAGAACCTCGCCTCATTCTCTTGCCCCAACACTTGGCCCTTTACCCTTTCAGGAGAACCTCCGTCCCTGAGCCATAAGGGCAAGGGACTCTGAGTCATCTGTCAGCACGTCCTGGAGGAGAGGGGTGCAGGCCGAGGAGCCCCCCCCCCCGAAGCACATGGAGAGTCAATGTGTTCTCTGGCCCCTACAAAAGACTGCAGGCCTTGGACCTGGGGACAAGAGAAAGACTGGGGCATGCTGACTGGGTGGAAACTGCGTGTCAAAAAAAACTACAATGGCGGAGGGTAGGATAAGGGAAACCTGGAAAGTCTGGCTCACATGGGGATGTCCCCCCATAAACTGATGGCTCAGAAGAAGGTGAGGGGTGGGCAAGTAGCTGACTATGCCTTCCTGGGCCTCTGCCTTCCTAGGGTTTGAAGCAGCGATCAGAGAGACCAGCTGGCCTGACGCATACAGTTTGGGGCGGGGCGGGGGGGAGCGGGCGGTGAAGCCAGAGGAACCAAGTGGCCTCCTCTGATACTCGGCAGGGGCAGGAATGGCAACTTTCCAGATGGAAGTGCTGGCGTCCCTCGCCCAGGGCCAACTGCACCCCTGTCTCAGTTAAAAATAGCCCTTCCTCTGCCCTGCGCTTTCCATTCTCTGTCCTTCAACTTTCCAGCCTCCGGTCAGATACTTCCGCTCTGGAGGCCTCATCCCAGATAACAAACACGCCCTCCCATATCCATCCGCTTGCAACAGAAGACACTTCTGCTTCTCCAGCACCGGTGGTCAACAAGGCTAAAATCACGTCTCACGTGTCCCTCCGGATGTTCTGGGTGATTACTCTCTCTCTCTCAATCTCTCTCTCTCTCTCTCTTTCTCTCTCTCTCTCTCTCTCTCACTCTCTCTCAGAAGATTCTTGTCACTGGGGTCTGCCCCAGCAACCACTAGGATTCCTGGGTCCCCGACTCAAGCCTGACCATCATCCTGCCCCACGGATAGGGGTGGGGGAGACCGAGCCTAGACTATCACCTTCTCCCAGGGACTAGCTCTGCCACTGCCTTGCTGAGTGACTGCAGGGAGGGAGGGCTTGACCTCTCTGGGCCTCAGGAAGTTCGTCCATCATGGGATCAGGGACTGGACTTGGTGATTCTTTTTTAAAGGTTTTATTTGTGTATTTATTTGAGAGCGGGAGAGAGCAAGAGAGCACAAGTCGGGTTAGGACAGAGGGCAGAAGCAGAGAGAGAGGGAGAAGCAGACTCTCCGCTGAGCAGGGAGTCCGATGTGGAGCTTGATCCCAGGACCCTGAGATCATGGCCTGAGCTGAAGGCAGCGCCCCTGGACTTGGGGATTTCTGAAGGCTTTTTTCATATGTAACAGTCCATGTGTCGGATCTCCCAGAAAAGGCTCCCAGTGAGGTAGGGACCAGTGGCAGACAGTGTGGCAGGGTTGAGAGACAACGGCTACACAGGTAAGGCTACTTCTTACCAGCTGCACCACCTGCCACCCACCTGGCCTCCAGCAAGACTTTTCTCTCCCCCAGCCTGTAGGGCTGCTGAATACCCAGGGGCCCAGCCCCATGCCTGGAGGCAGCCCCCGCTGTCAGGCACCACCCCCGCCCCACCACAGTCCTAGACCCCTGTTCCCAGGACTCCTTACCTGCCCAGCCCAGGAGCCCCTGGCCTCATTCACATCCTCCTGGCCTAGCCTGGCAGCTCACACACAGCTTCAGCTCCCTTCGTTAAGGTAGCCACCGCCTGTCTTAGCCCGCCCACGTTCCCACCCTGACTTCCTGCCTCCTCCTGAGGGCTCCGCAGCCAACTGGGCCCCAGCAACCCAACCACAAGCCTCCAGCACCCCAAGCTTCCTGCTGCCATAGCCCCCAACTCATCAGCCCCTGGGGGGGTCCTAGAGATCTCCAGGCCACCCTCAGGGTGGCACTTGGAGCTGAAGAAAGGATCTTTTTTTTGAGAGGATCTTTGATGGAACCTCCCTCCTGTCCCCCAGGGTGCACCTGGAGAAGAGATTCTCAAGGGGCACTGCTGTCACAGTCTGAAAGCGGGGTGACCCTCTCATCACAGTCTAGAGGAGGCAAAGGTAACCCCACTCCAGAGTCAGAGGAGAGAACACTATCTCTGCTAATCAGCTGGGGAGCTGAACACCCCATGGTAGAGTCAGAGGTCAGGCTAGGACGGCTGCCCAGCGATAGTCATGTCATCTCAGGGCAAGAGTCAGAGGGTAGCTAACACCCTTCTGAGAGACAGAATGCTGGACAGCAAGCTGTTTAAGGAAGCCCGCAGGACAACCCTGTGGCTTCAAGACAACCGAGTAACAGCCCCTGTTGGGGGCAGGAGACAGGATAACACCCACTCATCAGGGCGAGACTTCTCATTCAAGGAGAGGCAAGCCACAGCCCCTGCTAGAAATGTCGGGCCTGCCATCATCTCCTGCAACAGGTGGGAGACAGACAAACACTCCTGCCCGGGCACCCAGGCGCAGGCAGCTGGCTGGCAGGACTTTCAGTCAGAGACAGGAGACAGGAGACAGAAACCTTGTCACAAGCAGTGAGCAGGCCAAGAATCTTCCCTTCCCCTGGGACCAGGCTGACGGGGTGGGGCCATCAAAGGCCAGGTGCCAGGTCACCGGTGTTATGAGGAACCCTGCATGGCTCTATGAGGCACCAGAGCTGGGCCTGCCCCCACCCCCCCCCACCTCCTCACCACCCCAGGAAAGTATAAATGTGTCACAGTCCCCACCCCTGGAGCTTACACTTAGTGTGCAGGCTGGGGGAGGGGAGCCCACAGAGCATTGTTGGGGTTTGTGAGGGGGAAGCTGATGCTCTGTGTACCTCAGCTGCAGAGGGAAGGGGGAGACAGGAAGTGGGTGGAGGGAAGAGGAAGCCCGAGCTGGAAAGTCAGACAAAGCCGGTACTACAGAAACAAAGGCTGAGGAGGTGCAGTGTTTAAAAACCTACAGAGTGACCCAGAGCCCTAGCAAGGTCCATCTCTGGGCCTCCACACAACAGTACTAATACCACTCGTGATGGCAAGGATAAGCAAGAAAGAGTTCATGGGTTTTGAGTGTTTGTTTTAAAGATTTTATTTATGTATTTGTCAGAGAGAGAACATGAGAGAGAGCACAAGCAGGGGGAGCAGCAGGCAGAGGAAGAAGCAGACTCCCCACTGAGCAGGGAGCCCGATGCAGGGCTCAATCCCAGGACACTGGGATCATGACTGGAGCTGAAGGCAGATGCTTAACCAACTGAGCCACCCAGGCTGCCCAGTTTTGAGTGTCGTCTTATTTAAGACATCCCCAACTACTGTGGAGTAGAAGTAGCATTGTAGCATTTTCAGTTGAGAGGTAAACAAACAGCTTCAGGCTTAAGGGGCCTTCTTAAGGTCTGGTGGAAATGCGTGATGGAGGGGTGCCTGGGTGGCTCAGTGACCCTGGCTGCCTTCAGCTCAGGTCGTGATCCCAGCGTCCTGGGATAGAGCCCCACAGCCAGCTCCCTGCTCAGAGGGCGTCTGCTTCTCCCTTGGCCTCTCCCCCTGCTCGTGCTTTCTATTTGTCTCTCTCTCTCTCTCTCTCTCTCTCTCTGACTCTCAAATAAGAAAAAAGAAAAGAAATGCGCAGTGGAGCTGGCTTGGAACCCCGGTTTCCGGGTCCTGCATTCTTCAGCTGCCCGTGGGGCTGTCACCTTCCGTAGGGGTGATTCAGGACTTCAAGTTCTTGCCCAGTTCTGAACTTGCTAAGAGGGGGAGACAGAGCTGGAGCTGGGAAAGAGATGGGATCCATCTGTTCGCCTCTACCCCCAGCCCAGGACTTCTCTCCTGTAGTGGAAGCCCTGGCCCCAGCTACAGACAACAAACACACAGCAACCTTGGGCCCGAGTAAATAACTGTGGAAACCTTGATGGGAAGCACAGAGGGCCTTTATTGAAGAGCCTGGGGGTGCGTGAGCTTCTCCCCTTCCTCCAACCGCCCCTCCCCTAGGGCAGCAGGGGTGACAGGATGCTGGAGCTTTATGCTCCCAACGGAGTGACAGCCCCCCAACCCTCCCATCACCCCTTGCCAGGTGCTAGGGCCTTTGAGGTCTCAGGAGGCCCGGAGGTGCCCCTCAGCAGAGGGTGAAGCGCCGGGCACTGATGTTCATGCGCGTGAGGCCGAGGTGCCGCAGCGGCGGGGCCAAGGCTAGGCCGGCCCCCGGCTCCAGCTCCAGCTCCAGCTCCGCCTCGTCCAGCAGCTCTCGGTGCAGGTGACAGGCTTGGTCCACCTTCAGCCGGTGCAGCTGGGCCCGCAGCCGAAGCAGCTGCCCGGCCAGCTGCTGGTCCTGAGCCCGCATCTCCTGCTGTGGCCGAGAGGGGGCGTGAGACCGCTGTACCGGTCCACAGCTGCTCGCGTCAGTCTTCCCTTCCTGTCAACACCCTGGGTCTTTGCACAGGCTGTGTCCTCCCCACCCCCTCTCGTCCCAGCTTGATCCCTCCCGGTGGGTCAGATCCTGCTCTAAAACTAAGGGGCGATTGTTAGACAAATACAGGTGCTTGGGGGCCTCACCCCAAGTCGACTAAACTCCAGTCTCTAATTTAGAGGCTAGACATCTTTTTGTTGGCACATATGGGGTTAAGAGCCACCTGCATAATGCTGGCCTCCTCAGCTTCTGCCTACAGTGTGGTCAGTGCCTCATTTTGTCCTTCACTGCGTCTTGGAGGTATAGCAATTCTCAGGTTCTCAGGGTAGGAGAGGCCATGCCCCCCAAAGGGCAGGGATCTGTCCCCCCAGCCTACAGAGCCAACTACAGGAGTAGTCGGCAGTAGGTAGATTGGATGGAAACTGCTTCAGCAAGTCTCCCTGAATAAGTGACTGGACAAGTCCTTTCATGACTCCTTAGCCTCCAGAGCCACAGGAGTGGGGCGGTTGCTGGAGGTGAGGTCTGTCCTTGTCCCTTCCCCAAGCCCACGGTTCCTGGGTCCCAAGGATGACTGTCCACCCCACCCGACTCACCAGCTCCCGTCGGAGCCACTCAAGGGCAGAATCCATTGAGTCGAAGCCGCAGAGGGAACTGGGACCCCCCATCCCAGGTCTGGTTTGGGCCCTGTGCCACGCCTGGCTCTGGACCCGGGCCGTCCACTCCAGGTACGAGGGCCGCCGCGTCTGCAGCCGCAGCTTGGCCGTCAGAGCCTTGACAGAGTCCAAGCTCTCTTCCTCCTCGTCCTCTTCAGTTTCTTCACCTACTGCCTGGAATTTCAGCAGCCCTAGGGACATGCTGGCTTTGGGGTGAGTGACGGGTCAAAGCTACAGCTCTGGGAAAGGCTGGCAGTATGGCTGGGGGGCGGCGGCGGGAGCTGAGGGGGACAGAACTGTGCCAGGGAGTATGTGATGGGGACTGTCCAAGGTGGGTCAGGGAAGCCGAGTGTGTCAGGGTGGGTGAAGAGAGAGGTATATGAGGCCAACTGTGCAAGGGCTGGGATTTTCCTGGCCTGCTAACCCGGGAGCCACGTGATGCCATCCGGATGGGGGCAGGAGGAGTCCTGCTTCTCCTGCCCCTTGGATGAATTTTATTGTCTTTGCCCAAAAAGGAGACACCCAGTTCCCAGAAAGGAAGTTGCTCCAGGATGAGAAAGGCATCATCCACGCTAGAGTCTTGGCCTTCTTCCCAAGACCCAAGTTAAGGGGGGCTGGGGAGTGGATAGAAGGTTGATGAGCTGCCCTCTGTCCTCATGACATTTGGACAAGTCACTGACTCTCTGTTGGGACAGATCAGTGATTTCGAGCTGTACTCTAAGGACCTTAGGTTCCCTTGGAAATCCCTCAAGGACTGTGTGTGGGTTAAAGGCAGAGCTGTAGATGGGCTCCTAGACCCTCCCTCTCCCTGCCCTTCCCAGGGCTTCAACCAGAGCTCTTCCCTTTTTTAAACTTTGTATTGAAATATAACAGATCCACAGAAAACTTTGCACATCATAAATAATGACATGCCTTGCTGAATTCTCCTGAACTAAGCCCACTTGCTTACCCAGCATCCAGATGGAACAACAGAACATTCCCAGTGTCCAGGAGGTGCCCCTGGCCTGTCACTGCTCTCCCAATCTCTAACAGCAGTGATTAGTTTTGCCTTTTTGTGTACTTTCCAATGGTTCTCAAACTTTAGTGTGCATGGGCATCTCCTGGAAAATGTATTTAAGGCGATACATGGGGGTGGGGCTGACAATTTGCATTTCTAACGAATTCCCATCCCAGCTGGTCTGGAATTTTACAACTTGTACTCCTTTATGTGTGGCTACTTTCACAGCTCATTCCGATTTTATGTTTGTATTATGGGTGTCCATCTATGATTTCTTTTCTTTGTGTGTGTGTGTTTTTTAAAAGAAGGGCTTTGCATACATGCATGTGCATGTGCACACACACACACACACACACACACACACACACACACACACGCAAGCAAGCCTGCAACCTAGTGGACCAAACGGCCCTTTGAAGGCAGGTGTCGGTCTTATTCTACTTAGTAATCACTGCTTAACACAGTGTAGGCATCAGTGTTTAAGGAATGAAAGAATTAAAAAAACAAATGAAAGCGTAATTGAATGGATTCATAGATGGATGGATGGGTCCTCCAGTAAATCCTTTCACCTCTTGTGGTTTACCAGCTTAGGTGTGTCTCTTGCCAGCCTGAAAATCCTAATGAACAGAACCTTCCTCAGTCATCCTTGGGTCCCCTCACCAAATACAGGGCCCAGCTCCGTGTGTGGGCAATTCATATTTGGTTGAAGGATGGAGTGGTAGAAGACGGGGCTTCCGAGGGCAGGACTAAGCCAGAAGCAGCCCCCGTAGAGGGCGCCTTCAGGCAGGGACTTCCAGCTGTGGTGGGGGAGGGGCGCCAGCTACACAGCTGCTTGCTTTTAAGGTGGACTAAGGGATTTCCCCCACCCAGTCTCAGCGGTAGGGGGAGGAAGCAGACAGTTTCCAGTTTCACGCCCACCCTTTCCACCCTTTCCACCAGGGTACAAAAGAAGAAATGGTAATATTTCTTTTTTAAGTCAGCGAGAGTGAAGGCACCTAGGTTAAAAAAAAATGTTGAATGCCACCTGAGACTGAGGCATGAGGTAAAGGGCTTTAAGCAAGATTATTCTCCCCATTTCACAGATGGATGAAATTGAGTTTTCCTCAACAGGGTCTGGCTGGGGTCCTCGCTCAGAGGTGCTGGCAGTAGGATGGGGAAATTCCTGTGAAACTGTTCGATGGCTTCTTCCAAGGGGCCTCCTTAACAGCTGTCCTGCCGGCGTCGCCAGCTGCCCCGCCAGTTCCTGTCCCTTTCCGAGCCCGCGCTCGCCCCGCCTGACGCTCCTGGAGTCCGTCCTTCTGCTGGGCCCCAGGCCCACCACAGGCGGAATGGAGTTCTCGGAACTGATCCGCACCGGCCGGGCCCAAGCCAAGCTGCTGCGGGGTCCGGAGGCGCCCCCACTGCGTGGCACGCTATGCGTCACCGGCCACCACCTGCTGCTGTCGCCAGGGCCTCAGGGGACTTCAGACCTGTGGCTTCTGCTGTTGCGTAGTGTAGACTCCATCGAGAAGCGGTGAGACGTGGCGGGGGCGTCCCCGTAGTTGCGAAGCTCGCGGCTCGGCAGAGGAGGGGGAAGGGCAAGCGCAGTTGGAACTGGTGCCCCCTTGTATCACGTCCAATCCTGATAAACTCGTTTCTCCTCCCCTCGTGGGGGGCGGGGGATTCTAAGCCGAAGCCCGTCCATCCCCAGGGTCTCCGGTGACTCCGGCACCATCACGCTGCGCTGTAAGGACCTGCGAGTGTTGCAGCTGGACATAGAGGGCGTGGAAGCCACGCTGGACATCGCCCGTTCCATCGAGGTGCGCCAGCGGTGCTCCCGAAGCCCTTAAGTGATCCCTATTTGGTAATGACGGGAGTAAACGGGCTCCTGCGCGAGGAAACTCAGCATCCGGTGTTATCCTGGCACACAGCTAACTGCGAGGGATGCAGGGTGGTCTGGAGTACGCGCAGAGGAGGGAGCTGCGGAGCGGAGGGGCTGGGAGGGCGCGAGTGAGACGATTCCGACTTGGCCCAGATCCCCCGACTTCCTCCCCCAGGCGCTGTCGTCCTTGGAATCGGTCATCACTTCCTTTCCGTTCTTCTACCGTCCCAAGGGCTTGAGATTGGGCGACGCCTGGCACTTCCACCCACCCGAACGCTACTACAAGCGGGTAGCTCGCGAGGTGGGTGCGGTCGTGGGGGCCAGCGGTTGTGCGAGCGCGGCGCCTGGAAGGGGCGTGAGGTCCGGGCGCTCACGGAGTGCCCTAACCCGGCCTTCCCCTCTGCCTGCACCGCAGACCAACGCCTGGAGGCTGAGCGAGGTGAACGAGGACTTCAGCTTGTGCCTCAGTTACCCCCGCGCCGTGATCGTGCCTCGCGCTGTAGACGACGATGCCCTGGCGCGCTGTGCCCGCTTCCGCCAAGGAGGCCGCTTCCCTGTGCTCAGCTACCACCACGCTCCCAGCGGAACCGTGAGCCCGCCCCTCCCCAGAGTCCGCCACTAGGAACAACTGAGGCCCTTCTTGGCCCTTTTCCGCACCGGCCGAGCCAGTTAGCCGCGCGCTTGCAGCCCAGGCTCCTGCCCTTTGTGGCCGCGCTCCATCCTCCCCTCCAACGGGCCCCGCCCCCTCCGTTCCGCCCGCCCTCCCCGGACTCAGACCCCGCCCCTCTCCCCCGCTGAGGAGTCTTGCGGATCTGGGCCCGGTCCCCGGCCGTTCGGGTCCCTGGAGTCTAGTAGGGTCTTTGTCAACCCTGGACCTGCCCACGGTCTACTCTTAGGGTCCCTTTCCCCTTCGGCTACACCCCACCCAAGCCCGGGCCAGCGCCTTGTGAGTTCCGCCGCTAGGGGACCCTGCCCTCCAGCCCGCCCCTGCCAGCTCGAGACCCGCCTTAGTGTGTAGACCTTCCCTAGGGGCTCCCTGAGCGAAGTCCCCCGGCCCGGGCTGGGTGTCTATGGCTTCTGGAGTGGAGTGCCCATCCACAGGTGCTGCTACGTTCCAGCCAGCCTCTGACTGGTCCCCAGAAAAGGCGCTGCGCTGAGGACGAGGAGCTGCTGCGAGCCGTGCTGGCGGGAGCTCGCCCTGGAGCCCCGGGCTTCATCCTGGACACGCGCTCTGCTCAGGCCGCCAAACAGGCCCGTGTGACTGGGGGTGGCACCGAGGCCAAAGCCGCCTACCCTGGCTGGAAACGGCTGCACCGGCCCCTGGAGAGGTGAGAGGTCTTTCAGTCCTCTCCTGGGCGCTCTCCTACCGGACCCTTCAGGGATACGTGTGTGTAGGGGGGAGGCAGGAGGAGTAGGGGGGTGTGTTCCAGGAACCTTGGGGACTGTTAGGCATTTCTGGGTAGCCGTCCTATCCGGTAAGCATCCCCACTTGCACACCCCCAACTGACAGAGCTCATTCCTCTCTAGGCACCCGAACTCTGCCTGGAAAGAAAAAGTGTCTCTTTACATTAAACTGACACTTGTCTTTGTCTTCCAGGAACAGCTTCACCACACACACACACACACACACACACACACACACACAAACACATATACACACACACACCTCAGCTCCCCATGGGTCCCAGTCCTCCCCTGCAGCTCTACCTGCACAGCCGTGTCTATCTAGGCAATGGTAGTACCAAGAGCAGGTCCTCAGGGAGTTTCTGTGCTTTGAGGAGAGTGGAATACAAAACCATTTATTCCTTTATTCAACCAGCATTGACTGAGCCGGGAGGCAGAGACCGTGGGCAGCCCAGACCTGGTTTCGAGATCAGCAGTATGAGGGCAGTTAGGGTCCGGTGTGACAGAGCTGGTGCCCCTCTCCTGTGTGTAGGGAGTGCAAAAAAAGTTTCCCTGAGAACTGGAGGCCTTAGCTGACACCTGGAAGAGGAGGAAGGGCCAGAGAGCAGAAGGACGTTCCAGGTGGAAGGAACGGCCAGTGCACAGGAGCTGAGCCTCGGGTCATTTGTCCTGTTCGGGGAGCTGCAGGCACTTCGGAATGGTGGATGTGTAGAGTGTGGGGCAGAGGCAGAGAGAGCTGGGGCTAAAGGGGAATAGGGACCAGAGCAAAGGTCTTGAATGCCATGATTATGAGCTTAGACTTTATCCTAAAGGTGGGGGTGGGGGGGTGAATTGCAGGCTTTTACTCAAGGCTAGAAAAATCTCCATGAGATTTTCGGGCAGGAGGTCACATTGGTGATCTTGAGCTGAGCAGTTCCTGGGAAGCAGGAAGAGGGACCAGAATTCTAAGAGGGTTGTGTTTCTCTTGTCGGACTGGGACTCCCCAGGGACTACCGTGTTGCTCCTATCAGACTGGCCTACAACAGTACTGGGATGCTTCCATCAGACTGGGGGTTTCTCAGGGCATTGTTTCCTAGGAGGGTTGTGTGACCA